CATCATATTTCTCATGTTATAGATAATTTTCTTAATGTTTGACAACAGATTCTATGATGTCATACTTTACCCATAATCTTTTGCTTGAGAATCAAGATGGCTGACTACATAATAATGATATAAAGTTGAATATCTAGAGAATGAAAAGTGATATAAATTGCATTCTCCTACATTTGTGGACCTTTTTCTTCAGGGTCATTATGTTGCTTAGATTGATGTTTCCTTTAATGTTGTGATTGTTGTCCTTTATATACTCTTTGTTTTGTCTTGTCGCTTGAAGGATTGAATTAAATAATATAATCTGCTGAATAAATCATTATTATGATTATATTATAATCACAGTGCATAGACAACTCTGAACTAGACAGCAACTAGACAGAGGTCACATTATTTACAACAGTTCATAGAAATCTAATAATAGTAACGTATTAAATTCATATTTACTTTAGTTTTTTTTCAGGAAACTGATGGTTCATGGAATTTATTTCCTGTTCTGTGATCGTCTAGAAAAAAGACAGAATTAATAAAATCAGAAACTAGCAACAGTAGTGCAGTGGTTGTTGATAGGGGAACTCCTATATTGGGCAGACCTCAAGTTCATATCCTAATGGGGAGGATTGCTGGTAGTGGGGTGACACTGAACACAAAGACAGGATATCTACATTTGGGTTAGTTTGCCAAGATAACATGGTGAAGGTCACAGTTCCAGAATTATTTGCTGTCATTGGCATAACCTTAGTTAACCTTTTCACCACCAGACTTTTTCGTCCAAATTTTTCTGCACTTTTTAATTACATTCTTCAATATTTCTGGAAATAAACCCTAATTTTGGAGCCAACAGACAAGATTTGCGTCAATATTCAGTTTTTACTCAAAATATTTTGCTATTTTGGTACCAATCTTCTGAAAGAAAGTGCAGACTATAAACAGGACTATTTTGTGATGAAAAGAGGGAACTGCAGGTGGTGAAAGTAGCAGTACTTAGGTGAAACAGAAGTGCAATGATGGTCTCAATAATCCAGAATATAATAAATGCAATTTTTGACTACATGATAGTGAGATGAAAAGAGGGAAAAGAGGGAAGTCTGCAGGTGCTTGTGCTAAACTTGGTCTACATGTAGTTGATTATATTGTAATTATGATATCAAGACACTGTCACATAAAAGTAGTAAATGTGGATACAATTTCTGTGGCAAAATGCACTATATATACAATTAACAAACAATTAGTATATCAGACATGACAGAAATATTTAAAAGAAAAACATTAGAAACTACTATCAATAATTAAGGGTGACGTGTGGTGAACATTTCTCTCCTGAAATGTATTACATGATTGACCATCTAAATGTATGACTGTGTTCCACAAGTCTACTGTCTGGGCACTTAATTAGTGACTGACTGACAGCATTACCGAAACCCAGAAAATAATATCAGAAATAACATTCTCAACTTAACAATCTATACCCAAAACTCATTTGTTGCTTGATTTCCTGAGTGACAGTAAAAATAGTACATGGAATTTTGTTTTGCTTATTTATAATTTGATTCTATGGTTTTGGTTACCATGGTATTTTTATTATGACAATTAATCATGGACTTACCAAAAGTTTCACGCCATCACATCGGTAGCCTTTGAATGCCAGTACAAACTCACCATATCCTGCCTGAGGGGAGAAAGATCATTTTTATACACTCATGTAAATTACAGAGGTGATTCTATAATCAAAATAAGTAATATTTTAATGATTTAGTGTACTACAAATAAAAGTTTTTATTTATGTGCACTATAACATAACTGAACTCAAGAACATACATGCCAAGTTCACTTAGTTTTTAATAACTTAAGTCACATGACCATATAGGATTATTTAATATATAAAGCGCTGCTTGAATGGTTCTCCCAATATGATATTCATGCATTTTTAATGAGATTGCATGACCATATATGGCCATTAATTTTGTTGATCAGATCTAGTGTGCAATATCTTCAATAAAGAACTGGTTGAACGTCCTTATCTGCAATAATGCTCCTGATATGATTTTGTATCGCCATACGTATGGACACTGGTAATCACTAAAAGTGTAATGATCACTTGAGGGCTAATAATTCCAATAAATCGATCAGTACTACAGTATTTATTATTATTTTTTTCATTGTTATTTCCCAATGAAAAACACTAGTTGTGAAACTGTGAAATCGTACTATTTTTTGGGAATTTTGGTTCTGGAAATAACATTTGGAAAGAATGTACATGTATTCTTGATGCCATAATATTTTATTTTTACATTTAAGATAAAAATGGATTATTGAAATGGACAATGCTTTGATTCTACTATGGCTATGCTTTACAACTTCTGTTTATTTTAGAAAAAAGTAGAGATGAAAAAGCAGGAACAAAATAATAATAAATAGTAATATTATAATTATTTGAATTTTCAACTCTCAAGTGATTGTGACAATTCTATAGCCAATCACAGTCCTCATTTTAAAATATTTTAAAACTACTTATAAAGTGATAGCATACTCTCTCTATCTAAACTGAATGTTTTAATTGGAATAAATAAACCACAACAAGTACAAAGAAAAAAATGTATGTTATTGGAAGTTTGACTCAGCAAATTCAGATATGGCAATGTTCAAGTGCTTGTTGTAAATCTTTGTATTGCCATAACATCTTCACTTCCGCTTTGATTTTCTAAGAATTAAATAAGAAATATTCGCTGAATTGACGATCTCTTATTCATTGACCTGAACAACCATGAAAAATATACGATGAGAGAGAATGATCGCATTGCGTCACTTTAAGATATAACCCTCCAACAACTTACTGCTCTTAGCCATAATGTTACTTCGTCCGTTGACCACTTCTGCAATACGCTGGGACCTGGAAGATTTTTAGAAGCCATCTCGATGATAATTTAAATAAATTGCTAGTGTTTCACCGCTTTAACGACGAATTTACACAGGGATGCTGGAAACACAAAACGCGATGTTCACAACACTTCATCAAACTATAAACTTACTTCCTTAACTTCCTTGTTCAAAATAAGTTTTCTGCGCAACAATTTGCGCACGTCGATCATGACCTTTCACTCAGACACAATCAGCTGATTTGCAAGTCTGATGACGATCAACGTGAGAGTCGAGCGTACTTTTATTCGAGTATGAAATGTAAGTTTATCGTTGATGACTGTTTGATGCACCACTGCCATATCACAAGAATATATATGATCTATTTAAATTCAGTATAATTTGTTGTTGTTCAAATTCTGCTAGAAAATTACTTAGTTCATATAATGAAGATCGATTACATTTGTACATTTATTAGATTTCTAATTCTGTGCACGTAACGTTAATGATTGTACTGTGTAATCATGATCGAGTTGGGGGGGGGGGTACTCACGATAAGGGGTGCAGCACGAACCTCTAGACCATGAGCTGTTGAACTATCACTTTTACACTGGAAAGTGAGTGTTGAACCACAGTTAGCTGTCATTCGCCATGAGGACAGTCCTGTAGGTTGGCTTCCTTCCGCTGATCATTCGATGGGGGCTACCTACAACAACTTAAATATTTCAACCGGGTAACAAACTCTGATAACACATTACTAAGAGAAGCCTACTTAGTAAACAAGAATGTAAAAAGTAAATGGTTTACAAGTGTAGAAACCCTCATGCAAGATTTAGATGTTGTCACCATTGTAAACTCAAGTGAAAAAATAATTAAGAAAAATTTAGACTTTATTCATAAAAAAATAAACAAATCATTTGAGAACCAATGGATCTTAGACATGCATAATGATAATAGAAAACTAACCTTGGCTAAAAACAAACTAAGAACATACAGACTTTTCAAACAAGATTTAAAAATTGAAAATTACCTAATTAATATGCAGAACCATGGTCTTAGAAGG